ATTTTATTTATTTATTTGACAGAGATCACAAGTCAGCAGAGAGGCAGGCAGAGAGAGTGGGGGAAGCAGGCTCCCTGTCCAGCAGAGAGCCCAATGCGGGGCTCGATCCCAGGACCCCGAGATCATGACCCGAGCTGAAGACAGAGGCTTTAATCCGCTGAGCCACTCAGGCACCCCAAAGATTTTGTTCTTAACTGATCTCTACACTCAACTTGGGGCTCAACCGTAACCCTGAGATTGGGAGTCGTATGTTCCACCAGTGGAGCCAGCCAGGCTCCCCCAAAGTGGATGTCATTTGAAAAGTTAATGTTTTGGATGGGGCGCCTGAGTGGCTCAGTGGGTTAAAGCCTCTGCTTTTGGCTCAGGTCATGATCCCAGGATCCTGGGGCCCCGCATCGGGTTCTCTGCTCAGCAGGGAGCCTGCTTCCTCCTCTCTCTCTGCCTGCCTCTCTGCCTACTTGTGATCTCTGTCAAATAAATAAATAAATCTTAAAAAAAAAAAAAAAGTTAATGTTTTGGGACGCCTGGGCGGCTCAGTCAGTTAAGCATCTACCTTCGGCTCAGGTCATGATCCCAGAGTCCTGGGATCGAGTTCTGCATGGGCCTCTTTGTTGGTGGGGAGCCTGCTTTTCCTCTGCTTGCTTTGCCTGCTGCTCCCCCTGCTTTTGCTTTCTCTCTCTCTCTCTCTGACAAATAAAGTCTTAAAAAAAAAAAAAAAAGTGAATGTTTTTATATTGGGTTGTTGTGTAACTTAATTCTCTCTCTCTTTTTTCTTTTAAACTTTATTTTGGAATAAATTTAGATTTCTGTAACCCTAGTACATTTGTTAAAATGTAGACACCAACATCAATCAGTATGTTACTGTTAATTAAACTAGAGATTTTATTTAGATTTTACCAGTTTTTCTACTGATGTCCTTTTTCTGTCCTGGCATCCAGGCCAGGTGCCACACAGCATTTAGTCGTCTCCTTAGGCCTTCAGATAGATCTGTGACGGTTCTTCAGGCTCTCCTTGTTTTCATGAACTCTTGGTAGTTTTGAGGAATATTGGTCAGGTGTTTTGTAGAAATGTCCTTCAGTTCGGGTTTATCTAATGTGTTTGTGCACTAAGACTGAGGTTATGGGTTAGGAGGTTTTTGGGAAGAATTCCACAGAGGTGAAATGTGCTGCTTTTCACGTCACGTTGCATGTCGACGGCAGCATGGCTTGTCCCTGATCTTTTATCCATAATCATTTGGGGCGAGGGTGGTGCTTTCTAGGCTTCTCTGCTGGGATATTACTGTTTCCCATGCCAGACTCTGCTGTGGAAGTGAGTGACAGTCCAGCCCCTGCTCACTGTCTAACCCTGCTCAGGTTAGAGAAGCATACATGTGTTATTACTATTTGGAGTTCCCTGTAAGGAAGATTTGTCCCTTCTCTCCTCGTTTACTTATTACTCACTTACTTATATCATGGACTCATGGATACTTATTTTGTTAATCTGGTTATAATACAATACCATTGTGACTTCCTTGGTATTCAGATGGTTCCAGTTTTGGCTGAGCTAGAACATAGTCTGGCCTCAGATTCCGTGTAGACCTAACACTCGAGCGATCGCCTGGGCCAGTGCAGTAGGACTGGCCCACCGGACCCATCACTCTCCGTCTTCCTTTTCACAGGCCGCATTGTCTTTATTTCCCTTTAGGCATAAGATCTGCTTCTCAGGTAATTAATTTTTATCTCTTATCAAGGATAACATTTATATGCCTCTCTAAATTCTCTTTATATTTTTTATTCTTATTTACAAATGTTAATCACTGTTCATTTATTTTTGAGTTTATTAAAGCAATGGATTTTCACTTGAAAAATAAATGAGGGGTGCCTAAGTGGCTCAGTTGGTTAAGGGGCCAGCTTTAGAGTTTGGCTCAGGTCATGATCTCAAGGTCCTGGGATTGAGCCCCTCCTTGGGCTCTGCTCCGTGATTAGTGGGGCTACTGCTTGAGGATTCTTCCCCATCCCCTCTCTAAAATAAATAAATAAATCTTTAAAAAAATCGGGTGGCTGGCTAGCTCAGTCTGTAGAACATGAAATTTGATCTCAGGGTCATGAGTTCGAGCCCCACGTTGGGCACAGAGCTCAACTTAAAAAAAAAAAAGAAACGAAATTGTTAAATGAGATGAACAGCTGCCCTCAGAGCATTTAAACGTGAACACTACTGAAGATGGGCAGTTTTTCAAAGTTGGCGGTTTAATGGCAGGCTCAGTGTGAAGCAGAAAGACGTTTTTGTTGGGGAAGGACATCAAGAATATTGCAGTCGTACTACTCAGATTTTGTTAGGTTTGGATTTGATCTTATTGAGTCTGGTAGTAAAGAGTCAGAGGCAATGCTGTTAATTTAGTTAGGGAGGATAAGTAGTACATGCAGTTTATTATTTAGTTTCTGTAAAACAAGTAGTAACAAAACTCAGCAAGACTGAATAGATGGCTAGTGCCTTGATTCAGCAAATCATTTGGGAATGAAGAACCTTTAAAGAAAGGCATCAAAGGGACTAAAGTGCCTAGGGAACTTTTTAAATTCCTTGTCATTGGTCCCTGAGTAAGGAGGGGCAGGGATGCCCCCTCAGGTAAAGGCCCTTCACAGGTTGGACCTGAGAGAGAAGAAAGCTGGTTCTTTGGGCTTTGTGTCCTGGTTCCCCGAGAGGCGGAGACTTGGGTCCTGGCACATCCCTGGGGCTGTCTAGGCCTGAGAGCGTGGAGGAAGCGCCTTACCAGGTGGGCAGCAGAGCCGCACTGTTTTTTCTGGTCCCTCTGGTGATGCCCTCGATGTGACAGTGAGGAAGTGGTCACCAGAACACATCTCTTAATTCAGACGTTGTTGCACATGTAATCCCAGTACCAGAATGTATCTCAGTCCCTCTGTATTTCGTGTGGCAAGGAAACCTAATCCAAACTGGTTTAAAAGGAAAAAAGGATTTTCTTGGCTCATGTAACTGAAGTTCTAGAGTTGGGTTTGGCAAACACGCCTGGTTCAGGGCTCGGTGAGGTGATTAGAGTCCGTTTCTTGGCTTTGGGTGTTTTTCCTTTTGCAGGCTCTTGTCTCTTGTTTGCGAGTTGGCTTCCAGAAACCGTTCGGGCAATGTATATCCAGCTTGGAATCTAAGTGAGAAAGAGCGAGCATTCTTGTCTGTCTGCTGCAGGGAGCCAGGAGATTGTCCCTGTGACCAGACCAGTCCGGTCAGGTATCCAGTGTGTACTGGTGGCGGTCGGCAGGGAGCGGTGGGCTTAGGCGCCAGGTAGCTGGTTGTCCTCAGAGAAAGGTCGGTGGGAACTTTCCGTAGAAGGTGAGCTGATGCAGGGGGACACAGACGACACCACGTCCGCTCCGTTGGGCAAAGCTGGCTTACGAGGGCCTCCTGCTCAGGCTATGGGAGTTTGTTTTGATTCATAAAATAGACTGTAGATGTAATTTTCCTTAAATTTTTTAAACCTATATGTATATGTTCTTCTGTAAGGTTTTACTGCATTGTATGAAGGTTTTGATGGTTTCCTGCCATAATCTGGTTTGTCTTTTGAATTAAAGAAAACTTGTTGTTTTGGTTTTACTGTATATGGGTAGAGTCTTATTTTAACGACTAGAGGTATTCTATTTTGAGTAAGAGAAGTCCTTTTCACATCCTGGATAAAAATCCTGCTAGTGCCAATTTACCTATGAAACTAAACAAATCTTTTGAATGAGAAATCTAAAAATTGGAGATATTCACAAATCCTCATCCATTTTTAAAGTTAATTAATTTTTTAAAAAAAGATTTTGTTTATTTATTTGACAGACAGAGATCACAGGTAGGCAGAGAGGCAGGCAGAGCGAAAGGGGGAAGCAGGCTCCCCGCCGAGCAGAGAACCTGATGTGAGGCTCGATCCCAGGACCCCGAGATCATGACCTGAGCCGAAGGCAGAGGCCTAACCCACTGAGCCACCCAGGTGCCCCTAATTAATTAATTTTTAAGTATTTTATATATTCGAGAGAGAGTGAGTAGGACAGAGGGGGAGAGAGAGAATCTGAAGCTGGCTCCACACTGAGCCCAGAGCTAGACGTGGAGCTCGATCCCACGACTGCGAGATCATGACCTGAGCCGAAACGAAGAGTCAGATATTTAACTGACTAAGACACCCAGGCGCCCAATCCTCATCCATTTACTGACACATTATTTTAATACAGGTTTCTTTCTGCTAATATATGAATGTTTGGAACTTAATACTTACTGGGCTGTGGTATGGTGGAAAGCTGTCAGAAGACCTGATTGGAGGTGGTCGTGCACTGGGAAGGGGAAGGGGCTGGCTGACATTTGGAGGCTACAGCCCGCTCAGAACTAGATGAGTCTGTGTGTTTGGTGTGGGAGGTACTGATATTATCCCTGGAGTACTTCTTAGTAAAAAGAAATACCAGAAGCTCCAGGTTTTGTGTTCAGGATCTCTTGATTGGAAGGGCATCTGGCCGTGGGGTCTGAATCGTCCCTGAGACTCCTCTCCTTGGAGGTTTCTTGGTAGTGGAGTACGTTTCCCTCCTTTTCCTTGCCCACGCAGAGGAGGCTCCACCCTTCCTTTTCATACCTTGTGGCACATCTAGACTTTGTGAGCAGTTCACCATTGGTGTACTTTTGTAGACATGTTTTGTTTTTGTTTGTATTAAAATGTATTTGCCGCGGGCACCTGGGTGGCTCTGTCGGTTAAGTGTCTGCCTTTGGCTCAGATCATGATCTCAGGGTCCTGGGATCGAGCCCCGCATTGGGCTCTCTGCCTAGCAGGGAGTCTGCTTCTCTGTCCCCATCTACCCTCCCCTACCCCTCGTGTGAACGGGCACCATTCTCTCTCTCTCTCAAAAAAGAAAAAACGTATTTGCCAGGCACACAGCCAGGCTTGGAGATTTTACAAATGAGTAAGAATGGTTCTTGCTGCCGAAGAACTTACAGTGAGGATGAACTGGGGTGAAAAACATGAAAATAGGATTTTAATATGTTGTAAATGCTAGGGTAGTGGGAGGGGTTTATTTAACATAAATCATTCTTCTAAGTGGTGCCTTAAATTTTATTACTTTTTAGTCGACCAGCCTTTTTATCCCTGTGTGTTCAAAGAACAGTCCGCTCACTTTTAGCTTGATTTCATAGGTGTTGTTCGGAGGTCATGATCCCTGTGTTTGGATAATTTCCCATGAGTGAATTACCATAATTTCTCTTATTTTCTTTCTGTTGTGTGTGTTTACCAGATCGTCCTGTATCTTCACACCCTCACTCACACACTCCTTTCGTGGGAGAGCGTGTGGAATTCCTGGACATGGGAATCTTTCCATACGTGTGGTCTTACAGCGGTTCGTTCCGGAACCAATTTTAGATGTTCTGTTGTGGATCCTGTAGCTCGTATTGTCACACATTTGGTCAGAGAAACTGTTCCGTTGTGACCCACTTCATTGGAGACGTTGTTACTAGTGGCAGGAACACCATGGAAGGGACACCAGACTCTTCCACAAGGAGGGTTCTAGTATGAAACCACGAAATGCTAAGCGACGGAACGATGCCTATTCCCTAGCTCAGAAGCCGTGCACCTCGAAGAAACGGGCTGTGGTACCACCCGCATCCCACGTTGGTGGCAGGTTAGTGCCGGCGTCCCGTGCCTAGTTTCGTCAGGTGCAGGGGTGCGACCTCTGAGGACCAGGCATTGGTCGAGGCAGCAGATGGACTAGTGGTGATTAGTCCGGGAGCTCATGAAGCAAGATAAGCCCTTCGTATCTGATGGCTTTCCCTTCTAGTTCCTAGGCCTTTGAAGTGCTGCATGTCTGAAAATAATTTGCATAGAATTACTTGAGCTCATCTGTTAACTAGCAGATATGAAAGCAAACGATTACCACAGTTACTTCTTAAATAAAGCCCTTTTTTTCCCTTGATGTCGGTGTCTTTTTAGCCTACCTCACCATCTTCTGTCTTCCTCACTTTGTGCTTTGCTTCAGAGATAGGGTCATCTGCCCGAATCCGGGTCTCCGGATTATTACCTTTGCTGCCAAAAGCAAGGTCCCACTTGGAACCTTTTCGGTTATCTCTGTGGCCTCATCCAGCAGACTTATTAGCCCAAGTTCTGAAATCTCTTGATTCTTCTCGTTCCCTCAGTGCTTGTCATTTGGGGTCTTCAGCTGGTTTCGTGGCCATCTTCGTTAATGGGGTCTGCCGGCCGGACCTCCTGGCCTGCAGAGCCCCATATCCAGCTGTCCCCTGCTCAGACCTTAGGGTCCCTTCTGTTCTTTCCTGGCCTTTCGAAGTCCAGCTCCACATTGAGGGTTGAGTTGTCACCTTTCCTGCCATCCCCTGCCCCCGGACTTTTTCCTGTAGATCTCATACTGTCTTTTCTTCTTTTCAGCCTTGGTAGGTGGGACCTGAGCTCCACAAGGGCAAGTTCTGTGTCATTTATCTTTGTATATTCAGGGCCGGGTTCCTGGGAGTGAGTTATCCTGTGCTTATCGTGCTCCGCTTTCAGCCTGAATAATCCTTGCGGCTCTTGGTGGCTGGGTTTTCTGACCGAGAATTACCCACGGACCTCAGGGCTGTCTTCTCTGAATCTCATCTCCTTGTGATTTCTCTGCGCCCGAGGGTTTTATGTGGTCCGGTAAATGAAGCCCTACTCCGCTACCGGCCATTCAAGCCGGAACATCATCCACTCCCATATTTAAGTCATCACCAAGTTTTCTGTTAAGTGACTCTTGAATTCCTTTACTTTGCTCTCATCAGCAGTGTGGTGGGAGCAGCTACCCTCGTCTCTTGTGCAGAGACTGCACTGCAGCCCCATCTAACCCCCTGTGCTGGCAGCAGCTCTTTCCAGAACATCCATCTCCCCTTTCCCTTTTATTTAAAACTATCCTTTGCTCTTAGATAATTTAAACATCCTTGATGTGGCACCTTTGCACCGTCTGACAGAGAAATGTCCTAATATTTTGAGGGCACAAGTAACGATTTTAATACTCTGAGAAGCAGATGTTCTAGAAGAGGACATTTGTTTACACTTAAAATGGGGACTCTGTGTTATGACTTAGGCACCTGCCGGGACTATAGGCTTTCCCTCATTTAAATGTAATTGGTTCCTAGAGCCTGCAGCTGAAGGTAAGACAGAAGAACTTACTTGGCATTTGCTGCGGCTTTGGTTTGCTAGCCGAGAAACCCCTCATGTGAGTATGGGTGGCACAAGAGGCAGAAGTACAGACTTTTCTCGGTGTTTCCAGAGAGAAGCACGGCTAAAAGTGTGTGCAGGGGACGGCTTTCCTTTGTATGTTTGTTGTACATTGTACTGTGTATTTTTTAGTTATAGTGCTGTATGTAAATTTTTCTTTTTCAGATTTCTCTTTTTCAGTCATGTTATTCATTTATGCCTGTAACCTGCTGACTTAACGATGAAAGATGTAGAGTAACGTGTCTACATTTTTTTCCCTCTGGCAGTGTGGATCTCCTAGACTAAAAACTAGCTTGTCGTGGATGCTTTGTTTCTGTCACAGGATCCCGTTTCTGGAAGACGGCTGCTTTTTAGGGGTGGAGAACCTTGGTCAATAAAAATATCCTTTAAAAGCTGTGTTCAGTCAAACTTACATGCGAGCGAGCTGTTCTGAGGCTGTAACCCTGTGGCCCGAGTGAGCACCCCTCTCGCACGTGTCACCAGCGTCCTGTACTGTTTGGTTGATTGTTAGTGTGCTGGGGATGAAAACACAAGTGATCATATGCAGGCTGGTTAGATTAGTGATTTTAATATGAAACCATTGCTTTTAGAGTAATCATGGGCCAGACTGGGAAGAAATCTGAGAAGGGACCGGTTTGTTGGCGCAAGCGTGTAAAATCTGAGTACATGCGGCTGCGGCAGCTCAAGCGGTTCAGGCGGGCTGACGAAGTGAAGGTACAGCTCTCTCTTCTGGGAAGTGCACCCACGGTTAAGGATCGCCCCCCCCCCCAAAAAGATAAGTTTCAATTTGCAAGCGTCCATTTTCAGCCAAGGTCGTACTTATAGTAAGATAAATGAAGGCTGGGAAGCCCAGGGCCCTGATCTGTCTTAATTAACATGAAGATGGTCCCAGGCACAGGATTGAGAATGGAAAGACTGTGATCTAATGGCCGGTCACTGTGCTTCGAAAATCACTATCTTTTTAGTGTATCCTTTGTGTTGCTTGGGCAGATTTGGGACCCAAATATAAAGGGATGTGTCTCAGGGTTTTATGTTTCTAAAGTCATTGTGATTTTGTTTTTATAAGCTGTTAACAAAGAAAGGATGGAATGATTTTCTGTTCCCCGTCCACTCTTAATAGAATATGTGTGGTGCTTTTGTGTTATTTGAATGTGGGAAACTACAGTTTAGTGTAAAATCTGTATGTGTTTGAAGGAATGCTCCTGAAATTTTTGAGAAGTCACTAGATTTTAACCTGTGTTAGAGATACTACGAATTTTCTAACAATGAACAATTTCTCTTCTCCTCTCCTTCATTTTTTTTAAAGAGTATGTTTAGTTCCAATCGTCAGAAAATTTTGGAAAGAACGGAAATCTTAAACCAAGAATGGAAACAGCGAAGGATACAGCCTGTGCACATCCTGACTTCTGTGAGCTCATTGCGCGGGACCAGGGAGGTTGGTTAACTCACGCACTGTAGTAATTATCGGTGCATTCTGGTTTTTGCTGTTGCAATGTTGGTTGGTTACTGATAGGAAGTCGTTCACCTCAGGATGTCCATCTTTTTATTGCTCTTTCTTTTTAATGGGTAACTGTTAGTGGTTGCCTTAGGTAACACCAGGAGCTTTTCCTTATAAGAGAGCTGTAGTGTTCAGCATATGTTTTTAGTTACCAGGTAGGTGGTGTGTAGATTTTTATCGGATTGTTGATTAAAAAAACCATAAGTTAAATACTCTTTAATGGCCTCATCAGATCACTGTTTAGAGCAAGGCATTCTGACTCACAATTGTCTTTTTTTCTGCCCCTTAATATGAATTAGCTATGCTATAAGAAATGTTTTCATTCATATTCATGGACTAAGGAAGTTATTTATTATTTGAATTATTTTGTTCAAACTCTAAGGCTCTCTAAGAATTTTTAAATTTGCTGTTGAGAGATCAGAAATCCTTTTTTATAGAATTTTTCTGAAGGAAGACAGTAGATCTTGAATCTGTTTCCAAAAGAAGGCAATAAATGTATTGCGGGTTTTATAATTAAAAGACACATAAAACATAGTGGCAGCAGAATGAAAAAAAAATGGCCGAAGCTTGGGGCACCTGGATGGCTCATTCGGTTAAGTGTCTGACTCTTGATCTCAGCTCAGGTCTTGATCTCAGGGTTGTGAGTTCAAGCCCTGCATTGGGCTCCATCCATGCTGGGTGTGGAGCCTACTTAAAAAAAAAAAGACAGTGGCAGAAGCTGACAAACAGTATCGAACCAATCAGTAGGGTTTTGGGTAAAGCAAAGCGGTACAAGTACCTGTCTGTACAGGAAAACACGGCGTGGGAGGTGGAGTGCTACTGGTGCTACTGGAACGGGCGCCCAAACAAGAAGGAAGAGTGATTTGGAGTTGACGTTACAGCGCGCAGTGGCTAGTTGTTTCTCTGAGTGCCTAAACACAGGAAGCATCTAGACAGGGGTTCGATTCTAAAATGCGTTTTCGGTGAGGATGTGATACTTACGAAACATTGTTAATAAGCAGTAATTGGCTAGCACGTGAGACGCGCTGGCCTCAGAGACTCGCCAGTACTGTCACCGTAGCGCGGTCCTTGTGATGACCGTGATGGTGCTCTGGTGGGCTCCGTGGTGGCACTGACTTGGAATGACGTTAGTCTTTTATTCACTTTGTCAGGCGATAGCTCTCAACAGCGTGGGCTTGCAGGTATGGAAGTATATGTTCTACGCTGCTGACACCTTCCGCATCATCTGGGACAGGTCAGGGCCTACATGTTAGAGGTGAATGACTTTAATACACTAAAGGTGAAAGGGGTTCGTTTCTCTACTAGTCAGTATGATCTCAAAAGGGAGAGGGATGGGGCTTATCAGTCATTCTTTCGAAAGTTTTGTCTGGTGACCTTTTGGAAATTTTGAGGATAAAGGACAAAGAAACTTTGTTCTTCCCAGTGGAATAGATCTTAGAGATTTGGAGAATTAAGTAGGCACACTTGGAACACTTACTTTTTGCCACCCATTTTGACTCAAAATGCCACCAAAAGCCCATCTTCTATTTATTAGTGAAAGTTAACAGCAGTAATGATTTCTGGTAATGTGCTAGGTACTCTGCACACACAAACCTCCTTCAATCTTTGCGATAGTTGAATTAGGCCTGTTTCTCCCCGAGACGAGGACGCTGGGCCTTGGAAGGCTAGTGAGTTCGCTTGCTCCAGTGATCTGATGCGGGCCCAGAAGAGCACACTTTGCTCAGACACATTAGGAAATGAGTAAAGTTCATTGTTTATTTACAACTTGAATTGTTCATAATATAATTTTAAGTACAGTTCACTCAAGTGAATATTTACTAATTCAGTTTCGCTTTTGGTTCTGTCAAATGGAGATAAATCATTGGATGTAAAGGTACTATTTAATGTGAATTTATGCGAGAAATTGTAAGAAGAAATAGCATTGTAATAAAACAGAATTGCTTTCTAAACTTAGTACCCCATGCAGGTTGAGAAAAACCATTTTCATAAAATAGGAGGGAAAGGAGGGAAATCACCCCCTGCCTTAGGAACTTAGTTTTTGTTTCCTGGAACTCTGACCTGGTCAAGGCTGTTAATTTCTGAGCTATTCTTGATAGCTGATTCTACCTCAGATGATTCATCTTTTACTTCCCCCACTCCCAACCCCCTTTAAAGCCATCCTCACTGACTTTTGGAAGTTGAACGCTTATGCAGTTTGTGATAAGCTTTTTGGTGTTCTCACAATAAAAATAATAAGATTTTAGGACTGAAAGGACTTTAATGATCTCTGTCTCATCTCCTTATTTTGTAGATGAGACTGTATCCCATTTTATTTTTCTTCAGTTTGAGCATTCCCAGCTGTACGTCAGTTTCTTTTATATGCTTTAAAAGTTGGAGTCCGAAGTAGGTCAGAAGCAGGAGGATAAATAAAAGTGTGTTGTGCAAAGACTTTCCTAGTAGTATGCTTGGCGGGAGTTCAGACTGCAGTGTTGGTCCAAACACCTAAAGTCTGTGGCTTTCAACGTTGGGAAGTGCTGTTATAACATTGTTTTAATTAACTGCTTATTTTTATAAACCGATCCTTTGGAAGTGCTGTCTTCAGTTTAAGTCCTTTGTGGCATGAGGACCTTTCAACGACAATTTTCAGTTTTTCACTGAAGTCTTATAGTTTAGTTCCTGCTGTGCATGTAAAGTAGATGTGCTCAGTTTTAAAATGACTGGTTTTTATCTAGGTTATTGTAGTGGAGAACATCCGACAAAGGTCACACACTCCCTGATGTAACGAAGCGGCCCCTGTAGATGCTGACCTCAGATCAAGGAGCTCTGCAGTTGAACTTAGAGATTCCCATCTTCAGTATCGTGTTTTCTTAACATGTGTTTCTAAGATATCTGTGGGTACATATTTTTTGGTCTCGAGGTTACAGAACCTAATCAGTGTGGCCCATACAATTTTTATAAAGACTGTGTCAGTATTTTTCTTTTTAAAAATACTCCTGAATATTTGAAGACCTGGCGGTGTGTTTTACATTTATTTCCTTTGCTCTTTAGTTAATCTCTTCAAGGAACAGTCACCTTAAAAATGTCACTAAGTGGTAAGCACAGCCCAAGGGACGAACACCTTATTGATGGAGTGTGTGGCTGTTTATAAAAACCATTGCTTCGAGTTGATTTTTGTTACTTTGTCTTATCGGTAACAAACTTTATCTTCTCTAATTCCTCACCTTGGTGGTCCTGTTCTTCAGTGTGTCTGTTTTTCCAGTTTTAATGAAGAAACTGGTTTAGGAATTACTCTTGTAGTTCTCACGAGTACATTTCTTTTTGTACATTTGTCCATTTCTTGCTGAAAACCAAACGATGCTTTCCTTCATTGATTCTTCATATCAAGATTTTTATTCCCTGTGTGTATTATCATTGAAAGAGAGGCTCGCTCCAATGATGTCTGTCCTCTGGGCAAGTGGTATGATTGGTTTAGTAATTTAAAAATATCCTGCCAGTATGCATTTCTAGATTCCCAGGAGAATTTAATGTTCTTGTAGGAATTTTGTGTCTTGTTTACTAATGAAAATAGCATTTTTAGTGTATATGGAAATGTGGGGTTCTTCAGGATGCGTAACACAGCGGCATCATTAGAAAGACATCATAGTCCTTGCATTTATGAAGAATTAAAACATTTTAATACATACAGGTTTGATCCTCGTAGTAATATTTGAAATGACTATGAGTTCATCATCTGTCATTTGATATTTGCAAATTTTTTGTGGGAGTGTCGGAGAGGCTTCTATCAAAATAGCAGAAAGTAAGTTCTTTTATCCCTTTGCAGTTTGGACTCACTATTTTTATTGAAGGAGAGGGATACCGTTGTCTCGTTTGCATGTAGACACTTGATCGCATTATTTGTTGACTCATAATACTCTTTCCTTAGTTAATTGTAAATAGAAATTTTTGTTACTCTTTACCAAGAAAGAATGATACAATAGTGTAACCTGTATATAATTTAGTGCTCTTAATTACACTCTCAACTTTTAGTATAGCAACTGTTTTCTTTCTTTGGTAAATTTCAGGATTGCAGAACCAGTAGGTCTAGATGCTCATGAGCCATCTGAGCAAACATGGCAGGGAGCAAGGTCATTTTTCTCATGTTTTAGAAATAAATGGATGGTTCTTGGTCTGAACACAGCCTTCCTTTCTTGGTGCTTCAAAGAACCTAGTTTCCAAGTTGCTTACTGTAGCTCTTTGCCTTTCTTTAATCATTTATTAGTATTTATTTGGAGAGTTGAGTCCTGTGTTAACTCTGCCAGTCCTTCCCACCCATATAACTTTTTAAGAAATCACTGCAGCCTTAGCTTCCTCTTGGCTTTTTTTAGGCTGAAATAGATGGAACGTTTCTTACATGACATAAGGAGGCTTTTCCTTTTTTTTTTTTTTTTTTTTGAAAAGAACTAATGTTGTAAGTGTTTTATGCTTTTCCAAGAGGTCATTTTAGAAAAAAATAAGGGTCACTTACGATGTTTGCATTTGTATATCACTATCATATTAAATATATATCATATACTTGATGTCTGAGTTTATTTTTTAGACTTCAGATTCTGTATCTGACATTTGGAAAGTGAATTTTTCAAAAATGTCAAATGTGTATTTTGTGCACCCAATAAACCAGCAGAAGTTGCTTTCAATTGCCGTTTTTCTCCTAGAACATTGCACATATAGTTGGTGTTTTACATACATGGATAATCAGCTGTTTAACTGACTACAAAGATCGAACTCGTTGATCAAGATCAGTGATCACTGATCTACAAAGATCAGTTCTTTTCCCAAAATGCAGAACCACATTTTTACAGCTACTTTAAGAGCAGATTGAACCAGAAGAAATGCTTGTCTAGCCTGCATTGTTAAAAATTGTTTATTGCTCTGAAGAAATAAAATTTTATTAGATCTAGAATTTCTGGGATAACGTGGAT